GAGGGTACCACAGCTGTGGGGCCCACATCAATGTTCTCTACATCTATTACAAATCAATTCCTCCACAGGTCATCAAAAGAGAAATCAGCAAATATATCCAAGGTTTTCAGCCAATGTATTGCTCTTGTTAGAATACAGTCCTTCACTTCATCCAAGCTTCTTTCTTTCGCTAAGAAGACTCTTGCATTCTTTTCCTCCCAAAGAGTCCATAAGGTGGCTGCCCTAATACATTTCCACATGAACTTGCCTCTTCTAGTGTGCCATACAAAAATAGATGGGTTAAATAACAAACTCACATCAGATGGCAGAGACCACCTACCTCCAAATAAACTAAGGCACCAACTCCATAAGGTTGTAGCAAAGGAACAGGAGATCAGCAAATGGAAACAGTCCTATTCTGGGCCTTACACAAGGAACACCAGTTCAGGGAAAGACAAAGAAAGGGTCTCTTTTTCTGCAAGTTTTCCAAAGTATTGATTTTACCATAGTAGACTTCCTAGCAGAATACAGCAATTTTTGGAGGAATAGGTCGCGCCCAAACTTCTTTAAAGGGGAACACTCGAGAATTGGGGTTGGAACTGAGGGATTTTAGAAAAGAAGCACAAGTAAAGGTACCTTTTGAAAGAGGAGTCCAAACTCTTTGATCAGAAAACGTGAGGTCCAAACAAACTGACTCGAGTAAATGAAGTAGCTCAGTGACACAAATCAACTCACCATCCCTTAATCCCCTACGAAATCCAAAGTCCCAGTTTAAATACATGGGAATAAACGGGTTCGGAAGAAAATTTGCAATTGACTCATTTTTGTGAAGGGAGAGAGAGTAAAGCGAGGGGAACTGATCTTTGAGGGGTTGATTACCCACCCAAACATCCTCCTAGAACCGAATAGAATCACCAGAGCAAGCATCATACCTGATAAACATGAGGAAGCGAGGGAGAATACCATGTATAGCCTTCCAAGGTGTTGTAAGGGTAGCTCAGTGAGATATCCCAGCATCCCAACCATTTACTGAGCAGCCATGAATACTTGACACCACCTCATGCCATAATCTCTCTCTCTCCCGAGGCCATCTCCATAACCACTTCCCTAGGAGGGCTTCATTCTTCTACACTATATTCCCTATCCCTAGGCCCCCTTCTTCCTTAGGTTTATTAACTATCTCCCATCTAACTAGATGGTCCTTTTTCACCTCTCCTAGTCCCACAGAAAGTCCCTCATTACCTTCTCCAGTTTCTTAGCCTCCCTTGGGGGAATCCTGAAAACTGAAAGGAAATAGGTTGGAAGGTTGGCAAGTGTGGCCCTAATCAAAGTCACCCTACCCCCTATTGAGATGTAATTCTTTTTCCAGGCTGCCAAACATTTATCAAATTTCTTCACAATAGGAGCTCAAAAACTACTTTCTTTAGGGTTAGCTCCTAATGGAAGACTTAAGTAGGTCAAAGGCCAAGAAGAGGTGGTGCAACCTAAACACCCTACAATGGATTCTATCTCCCAATCCTCCATATTTACTCCAGCCACACAACTTTTATCAAAGATTATCCTCAAGTTGGAGGCAAGCTCAAAGGTTCTTATTAAATTCTTAAGGTTGTCCATCACTCCTTTGTAGAAAATAACAATATCATCAGCAAACTGAAGATGATTTAATGAAATGCCTCTCCTCCCTATTCTCCAACCCTTTATTTGGCCCTCCTCATCTTCTTTGGAGACCAATCTACTAAGAACATCAGCAACAAGTGTAAAGAGGAAAGGAGAAAGTGGGTCACTTTGTCTTAAGCCTCTATTGGCTGGAAAGAAGCCCGTAACCACTCCATTAACCAAGACTGAATAATGACATGAATTTAAACATCCACTTATCCAATTACACCATTTGTCCCCAAATCCACGCCTTAACACCTCCAACAAGAAACTCTAGTCCACTAGGTCATAAGCCTTTTCCAAGTCCAATTTGCAGACAAAGCCTTTTCTGCCAAATCTCCTCATCTCTTCCACTCTCTCATTTGCAATGAGGATTTAATCTATAATTTGTCTATCCTGTACAAAGGCTCCTTGTGCTTGGCTAATGAGAGAAGGGAGAATTGCTTTGACCCTCCTAGAGAGCACTTTTGCCAAAATCTTATAGATGCTAGTCACCAAATTGATTGGCCGAAAATCTTTGGGGTGTTTGGCATCAATCTTTTTAGGAACTAGAGCTAGAAAAGTGGCATTTGTTCCAAGACTCACAATATGTTTATCCTCAAATTCTCTAATGGCTCTAGTTAAGTCTTCTTTGATTATGTCCAGCAATCTTAATAAAATGCCATTGTAAACCCATCTAGACCCAGTGCCTTAGCTCTACCCATAGAAAAGACAGCTTGTTTAATTTCCTCCTCCCCCACTCTTAACCGATTCTCCAAAGGTCTTTGGAAGATTTATTTGAAGTGAGCCACAAACCTACTAGCAATCTCCTCTTGAGAGGTTATCTCAACTCCATCAACCTCAGGCTTAAGTATCAAATTTTTCCTTCTCCCATTAGCCATAGCATGAAAGAATTTAGGATTCCCATCCCCATCCTTGATCCATTTATGCCTACATTTTTGTCTCCACGAGATCTCCTCCCTCAACAGAACCTCCTCTAACTCCTTCAATTTCCATCTCAGTTCTCTATCTTGCACATTCATCATCCTCTGGGACTCTTTTGCATCTAAATCCTCAATCTAACTAAGTAGTCTAGCTTTTGCTTCCTCCACTCTTCCAAATTGATCCCTATTCCATTCTTTTATTTTGCCTCTCAACCTTTTTAATTTTTTGTGGAATCTAACCCCATTCCATTTCACTCCCCTCATCTCTTCACTCCACCATTCCTCAACCTTAGACAAGAAATCCAGATGTGTTAACCACATATCCTCAAACCTGAATGGTCTAGGTCCATTTCCAAGAGGTTCTTGTCTTACTTCTATGGGGCAATGGCCAGAGGTGACCCTACTTCTATGGTCTAGGTCCTCTTCTTCTCTTCTTCTCTTCATCCCACACTCTTGCAACTACCTTCCCTCTCCTAATCCATTTGAATCCATGATCTCTTGGTTTGAATGTCGTTCCCGTAGAGAAATGGAGTCAATATTTTGCAAATAAAATCAAATTTTTGAAGCTAAAATGAGGGACCAATTCTTCTAAAAAATGGGTGGCAACTCCTTTTTCTTGTGTTCGACATGATCTTCCCAAAGCTCACATTTATCATCCTTCTTCAATCAAGAGTCGAATCATTAAAAATGATTTGGGCTCAAATGTAGCCTAGCCTATGACCAATTTAAATGGCTGTCACAGGATATGTCAATCTGTGTGAGATGGGTGAGGAGAACTGCTAACAGCTTGGCAGATAGCCTAGCCAAGCAAGGGATACATAGAGCAAATATGTTTCGGGCTCAAATGTAATTTGTATTTGGACAGCTCCTAAATTTGGCTTCTTTCACAACTTCTTGTTGTAATCTTGGTTTCTTCTAATTAGTGATTTTTTTTTTTGTGTTGCTGATCCAAAAAAAGAGTTAAATCATTAAAAATCCACTTTCTCATGCTTGCCATCCTGAGATTATACCACTATATCAATAGGGTTGGGTGACTCACTTCGAGCAGAAGTAATGGTGCTCCTTCAAGGGCTCAGATTGGCTAAACAGTTGGGTTTTCAACAGTTAGAAGTGGAGGGGGATTCAAAATTGGTCGTAGGTTGGAATGCAAACAAATAGCTTGGGCAGAGGGAAACAATGAACTTAACAAGAAAGCTAGGAGCACAGTTTAAATGGACTAGGATGTAAACAAATGGTTCAGCTGACGCTTTAGCAAAGCAAGGGGTTAATAGTGAGACTCTATTTTGGGCATGTTTGTAAGTTGATTATGTTATGAGGGGTCACCTTATGTTTTCTAGGGTGCAGTTGTAATGCTTTTCCTTTTAAGTTTAACGAAAGTTACTGTTTCCTATCAAAAAGAAAACTTATACCATTGTACCAGGCAATGATAATTGCTCCTATTATGAGGGTTAAAGGAAGCCTGTGGAATCCAAGGTTGAAAGGAATAACAGGATGGGTTCAGTTTGTTAGTGCCTTGGTGGTTGCTTGCATGATTGAAGGGCAGCAAGCTCTCTTTTCCCTACGAAGTGCATACTTGATTGAAGTTTCAGTTGGCATGGAGGTGCTACCTGGTGGTAGTTGTGAGGTGCATAGATCTCTCTCTTCTGTGGTTTTTAGGGTTTATGGGCAGTTCATGTGAGGTTTTTGGCCCCTTTTGGCCAAGAGGAAGAGGGTACTTTTTTCTTTTTTTTTTCTCACGTTTGCCTCTTTCTTTTTGTATATAACTTGTTCTTGCATACACAGTTTCATTTACACATCGAATAAAACAACATTCTTGGCAATGCTAGAAGAAGAGTCCAAGCTGGTTGTGGGGGTGGCTACAAAGTGAGGAGGCAAGTTAATAAAAATGAAAGAAAGAAATCCAAATGGTTGATACAAAACATGGAAGTGAGAATACAATGGGTTAAAAGAAGTGCAAATTCCTTAGCTGATGGGGTGGGAAGAGACCAGTTGTTTTGGGCATTGTAAGAAGAAAGAGAACCTTGGGGATAGATATGATGGGTTATGATATCTCTCACCGCTTGTATACAATTCTTGTACTCACAAATTATTTTCCATCTATTAATGAAATTCTAGAGTTATGTTAAGCATATGGTTTGTCATCTAGACAACCAGTATTTTGAGATGTACTGCATCTTTTTCAATTTAATGAATTTCCTTTTTATTCTTCAAAAAAAAATCTACAGTTATTGATCCCACAAAAAAAAATCCTGACAAAGTAAAAGATTTCTAAAGACTATAATGTAAAAAGGAAAACAAATGTTTTGAACATTTTTTGGGAAGAACTGTTTGGTTAGTGGAATTAATAAATAAAAACAAACCTCCATCCTGTATTTCCCATTGATGGTTTCCATAGCTGCAATAGCTTGTTCTCTAGTCTCATACTTCAAAAAAGCACAGCCTGACCCATAAAGGAAATAAAAGAACAACCATAAATTTTCTGAAATACCAGTTTATACTTCCAAGTTCCAATAATCTACAAATATTTAAGATATGAACAGGACTGAGGACTCTAATAAGATAGCCTAAAAACAGCACCTTGAAGGAGCTAATCTAACCATTTAACAAAAAGACAAAGAAGAACAAAGGAAAAAAGAAAAGAGCTGAAACTGGAAAGCCACCTTTGCTTGTCTGTTGAGAACCTCTCAGAATTTGTAAATCTTTTATGGTTCCATATTTAGAAAATAAGGCAGAAACTTCAGTATCAGATACATTCTTTGGAAGCATACCAACAAAAAGCTTGTGTTCTGCAGACAACATTTATCAAAGAATAGTTATGTCAAGAAAACATCACCACATGGTGAAAAATGAGGTTTAGCATCACCATAATTTACATAAAAACATTATGAGGACAAGAACACAGAAACAGTGCACAAATTTGCAAACCTAGTCTTTCCAATTCACCATCTGCATACTTCACTTGTAATGGACTGGATGCCTGAACAAAAAAAAAGGAGGGCAGAGAGTACATTTAATCAGAGCAAAAAATGAGAAAAGTTGTGTCATATAGCAATCAAGGTGAAGTGAGGAACACGCACAACACTAAGGGTTAGTGATTTTATCCGTAATATGAAATGTTGCCTTTTTTTACCAAGTAACATTTTATACAAAAAATAGCATTCATCTTGTACATTAGTTGTCCAATTGTGTCAAATAAGCTAGGAGATAAAAAGGAAATGTTACATACAAGTGTCCTCAAGAATCCATGGAGTGTCATATTCTTACAAATGTCTAACATGGACACACCATCCATTTAGGAGAGTCCATGCAACAATTTTTTTTTGTTTTGGAAAAGGTAATGTAAATTCATTCAGCATAGAGAAACAAAAGCAAACTGCAATTCAGACCCTAGAAGGCAGTCTGAAAAGCAGTCAGGATTACAACCTCCACCAGGAGCAAGACTGAAACAAAACGGGCATGCTAAGATCACTGAATTCCCCAGAAATGGAAATCCAAGAGAGCAACTTGCCCACAGCTCTCTGAATTACATCATCAAGACCCTTAGACCTATTACAGAAGATTCTACTATGCCTAGACCTATCTCTAGGCATTTCATAACCATAGATTATATGGTATGATCGACCAAGAAGAATATGGGCGGTAGCCATTAATGGAACATTACACTATGATTCTTCCCTATAACTCCCTAATGTAAAGGTCACAAAGCATCTTCTTGTAATCCTTAAGGTTGGCTTCCAACCATGTAATATCATACAAAGCAATAGGAGCAAGTTGAAAATATGCTTTCTATAACATTTCACAAAAAAGCTTTAATATAGTTCCTAATATCAATTATCTTTGCAGCTAACATCTTTCCACAGCATACCCAAGTATGAAAAATGGTATACCATTTCCAACCTTCCTCTACAATGGTACGGATAACAAAAGACTTCTGAATAAACAGTGATTTTGTGTTACATGCTTCAAGGTCTTTTACAATTTCTCCTTGTTTATTTGGTGTTCTTCTCATCTCTGGCATGACTCAATTGATTGATAGCCACAGTCAACAGTTATTTGATAGATGACCCATGCTGTGACACTTAGAACACATGAGTTTTTGAAACTCAGCCTTAAATCTGTCACTATAAGGCTATAATCAACCTCAGGACTTTTTTTTATACCATATTTGGTGCAATTTCCCAACACTCAACTTGACAATAACAAACAGGACTTTTTTTTTGCTCCATAGGGCTACACAACCGGGGTATCCCATCCCCCAACCCTGGTGCAGGTGGGATTCAATCACAAATCTCTGCTGCAACCAGCAGAACAAGGATATAATCAACCTCAGAACGGGTGAACTATACACAATATGTGCAAATTTATACACATGGAATGTTGAATCAATGCAGTGGAATGAAATCAAGAGAATGCCCTGATGAAATCAGTGAGCACCAATAATTCATGGAACGGTTCAAGCAAGTTTGCCCAGAATTCCAAGCAAATTGAAGAACTTACTTTGATACCATATTTGGTGCAATTTCCCAAGGGGACAAATGCTTGGAAACCAGAGTTGCAAAACCTTGAAGAAATTTCATAGAAATCAGAAAGAAAATCAGAGAAATTCCATAGCATGGTGCAGCAGATGAGCTTTTTAAGTTAGTATACAGTGTCTTACTGTATAGCTTTTGAGTTGTTTGCCCAGATACATATTCAAATTCTTTACCTTTATAAAATAAAAAAAAATAAAAAAAAAAAACGGTGAGAGAGAGAAAGAGAGAATGGTGTTACCACCTTAAGAGGAATCCTTCCCAAATATACAAAGTGCAAGAGTTGTAGAAAAAACTTTACTTTTCACTAAAATTTAAATAAATGAGATGGTATCTTTTTTTGGTAATAAATAAAAAAAGAAGATTTTATGAAAGAAAAAGAGAATACAACAAGGTGATAAGCCATCACCCACAAAAGGCCAAAGCCCAGAACCCAAACCACCAATATCTATTTAAAAGAAACTATATCAGAGTTGCAATGGCTTGAATAAATTTCACAAAAAAAGGAAAGGAAACTAGGGAAATAGAGAAAAAGAAGAGGGAGGAGACAGAGAGAGAATGGTATTTCTACCATAAGAGGATTCCTCCCTGTAAGTACATAGATTTTAGGTCCTATGGAGAATGCACTGAAGACACTTAAACAAGAGACCACAGTGCAATCTCATCGTGCCCACAAGCCCAAATTTCTGTGCTCAAAGAACAAAAGAAATGTGCTGAAGAACACCCGGGCATGACTAACATAACCTGAAAACCCCCACAGCGCATCCCTACCTCAACTTCAAACCACAAACAGGTGGAAACATTTGTGGTGGAACACGTTGGACTGTGCCCCCCAGCACAGTGCAACCGGGCCTGACCCGAACGTCACTCATCCCATGATTTAATGCATCAGCGCAGTAGTTTCCCACACTGTCGCTCAAGATCACCAAAACATTACAGCGCAATAGTGCAACACACTCAAACAACCTACAACAACGCGTAGCTTGAGCGAGCGTTGCAACGTAGTAGCCTAGCATACTAGGAGAGCCGTGATGACAAACCAGTGTATCAATGCTTCAACTGAATATTTAAAGGCAAGAGAGGCTTCTAGAAGATGGGTTGTAACCGAGCTCATGCTCGCATGCGGACCCCAAGAGAAAGGGCGGGAGCTCTGATCTCAGGATCCCCATGGTAACATGTGGTGAAACCCTCTTTGTGAACCCTCTGTCTCATATCTAACCGACTAACAAACTTTCCCGCCTTGGGGAAAGTCTCCTTTCTTATTGCGTGACTTCCTATTCGATAGGCTAAAGCTCTCCTCACAGATTCAATATCATCTTGTGTGTAAACTCTACCCGTTGTTTCCTTAGAACATCCATTAAAGCCCTTCCCTAAGTTTTCCACAACCTCCATCTTCTTTCCTCTTCCTCTCTAAAGCCATCTACCGTCTTTCAGGTAGACCCCTATATAAACAAATTCTAAGAGTTGCAAAAAAACACTTCATTCAAATTCATTCTTACTAAATTCAAAATAAATGAGAACATAGCTATTCATAAAGAGACAATGTTCTCTTTACAAGAAACCTTAATACTAGCTTGCTACTCCAGCAACCTAATAAGACAGAAAATAATAACTAACAACTAAAATGGAAAAGCACAAAAAATATCCCCAAGTGTTTTCTGAAATATTCTCTTGTTGGAATCTTTTGATTCTAGTTTATAGCATTGATCTTGACCATGGGCTGAGTATAAAGGGCAATGGCCTTAAGTGATGGGACTGGCCCCAAAAGAGTTGGTAGGCCCTACCTAGTTAAACTGGACTTGTACTCGGTAGAATCAGGATCTACTGCACTTGTTTGTGCTGAACTTGTCATGCACATGCATTGGGTCTGTGATTGGCATCCCATTACACATATGTAAATATCCATAAGCATGAGACCACACATGTAATGGGACACCTGCCACGAGAAAGTGCTAGACTTACTAGGGTGGGCCTGCATCACCAATGGTAGCATTAGTTCAAGTTGAAAATTCGAGGAAAGCAAGAGGCAAACCAAAAGGAAAGTTGATTGTAGTGATGATTTGAAACTAGAGTTTAAAGAAAGCATTTACTTCTAAAATGATTATAATCACAAAGCAGTAGAAAGGATTTGTTTTCCCAGGCCCAAAGAGTTCCAACTTCCAATAAGGCAAGAAGAAGAATGATGATGATGATGATGATGATGATGATGATGATGATGATGATGACGTAAATGACAACAATGACTATATATTTTCACTTTAGAATAGAGATAGACTAAATCAGGAATCTACAATGAAGGCAAGGAGTTAAATTTTGACCAAAAAAAATCAAAGTTTCAGAACTTTGTTCCATTCTCAGGAGTGGCCAGAATGAGATATACATGGATACAAAATCCATAAATTTTCAATTATAAAGAGAGAAATAATAAAATAAACTTAGATAAAGATGAGAATTGATGAGGGATAATTTGATCTTCCAATGACATCATGACACCACGTAAACAGGCCACTCTGGACACTTCACAACTGCACCAGCGACCTTGGCACCACCTCGATAGACCGAACTGCGAACAGCTAGGCAGGACCTCAGGTCAGTGTAAGAGGCGACCTGCTTCCACTGAACTACACCGGCCTCAATATGACATCAGGTCGGCATGAGAGGCGACCCGCTTCTGCCGACCTGAACCGAGTTCAGCTAGTGACCTGCCTAACGTGCTGAGTGACCTCCTCCTTAAGCGGGCTATCGTCTCTAACTTCCCTGGGATCATGACACCACGTCAGAAGAGCCGATTATCACCCCGCCCACTTTATAAGCACTACCCACTTACACAAAGTCCACCTCCAGACCAGACGAGCCGGAGATCCCAGACGCATTTTGTGAGGCTCACAGCAGCCCACCAATATAAGGGCCTCATCTCCAACCTCAGAAGGTACACGTGATTTAGCTCTCAAGCACTCTAGCTCTCTTGCATTCTTGCAATCACATCTCCTGTTCGTTGACTTAAGCATCGGAGTGCCCACCCCGGGTCACACTCTCTCTCTCTCTCTCTCTCTCTCTCTCTCTCTCTCTCTCTTGCAGCTTGACTAGGCGACCTACTCAGTCCGACATCCAAGCTGTCTGCCAGCAGAGAGCACCACATCGTGCATCGTCAAGAGTTAAGAATGATAAGAACCTAAAACTAAAATAACTAATTGTGTTGTTAAGACGTTTAAAAAAAACTTGAAATTTCAATGAGCTAGACAAAGGGTTATTGTATTACTGACCAAAAACAAATTAGCAAATTTGCATTGCAACGTCCCTCAAGGCCTCAACTCACATGAGTGTTGTCTCTGACTTACATATATTGCTCCCTATCCCAAATGTCCTGCCTACCTTATATCATACTTATTGTGACATCATATGGCATCACAATGCTCCTTGCCTAAAAGTCCTGGTCTTACTCTTTTGCCCTAAGGTTATCATTGTCTTATTCTTGCTCTCATCATGTTCATCAGATATAGCTAGATACATAACATAAAGTTGCAATGGTTAAAACAGATATTCAACCCATGGAAAACCTTAGAGAAATGCAACTTCAACCCCCAGAGCTCGAATTTCTTATCTTGACATCACAAACACATCAGCATGTCCAAATAAGACAAAATAAAAAATTATTAAAAAAATGAATTCTATCAACTGATCACATCCCGATTCAATTAGAACACAATAAGTAGAACCTAAGAGAGGTCGAACTCCAACTCACCCCGGGAAGCGTTCGCTTGTTATGCCACGCATTAACAGCCTTATCTGCTTCCTGCCTCGACGGACAGATCAGAAAACAACATCCTGTGAAATCGAATTCAAACAACATAAATAACAGGCAGTAGGATCTAAAGTGGAAACCGATACATTCTGAGCTACAAAATCCCAAGCATATAGAAGAAATCGTTCAGATCACGCATCGCGATCGGTCGAGACAAATGGCGGAATAATCAAAATGCAGAAAGAAATACAAAGTTAAAAGCTCAAAACTGAATTTCCCGGACCTCTTGAAGCTCGAGTTGTCTTGTCCTTAATGATGTTGACTTCGTCTACCAGAGCAACCTCCTTGAACATTGCAAGAAGCTCAGCTTCAGTCATGTTCTTGGGAACCTGACCTACGAAGAGCTTAACGCTCTCCCCGCTAGGCTTCTTGCTTTTCGGCGCTTCCTCCATTGGTGCCGAGCTTCGCTCCCTGCACAGCTCTGCAATTCCTTGCAACCGGAGATCTTTCTTCTTCTCCTCTCCTTCCTTCTAATTCTAAACAAGTATTCGCTCGTTCTTGTTGGTGGAAAATGAAACCTCTCTCGAGGGGCAAACTTGGATCTTTATAAATTCCAATTGTGGTTTGAAGTCCGTAAATACCCCGGAACTTGAACATAAATACGGAAATGACCTACTATTTTGTCTACGCGGTACATATGAGAAGTAACTGACGGACAGAGATACATTTGGGTCCTGGATTTAGGAAATTTACGAACTGGAGACTTGCTTTTTCTCTTGACAGAAATACCCCTGCGGCGTTTTGTTCTAACAGCGTGGCATTGAAAAGTTTGAATTTATTGGACAGAAAAAGAAGTCGAGCACTTGAAGGCTGAAGCCGCTCTTTTTTCTATTCGAAAAAGAGAAGCTGGATCCTGGATCCAAATCCAATCATCCAATCCAATGAGGAGCTCCCCACATGGAAGTTGATTTTCTACTTCAGATTGGAATCTACCTAACACTCACTCAGAGTCAGGCCCCACCTATATTAACACGTGGCATGATTATTTTATGTACAGGTATCGATAGCGTGTCACACCGTATTGTAGGACATGTATGGGTTTTTTAAGGTTCCCAATACGTTAAATACAAGGATTTAGGAATTAGGATTAGGACAAATCACCATGTTCAACGGTTCAGAGCCTGAAAGCTGAAACAATTTCAATCCATTACCATCGCCCTTTTAAATTGCGCAATGGTTACTCCAAAGTCCAAACCGTGCTTAAGTATATAGCTGTAAATGCGTTGGATCTAGTTTCGGACAGGCTGTACCATTCCTAAATCGGTTTCACTCCATGGACCAACCCAAAACCATCCTATTGACAATCGGGTCTGACCTGATTAGACCTGAAATCCATAATTATCTATGATATATATATATATATAATAATTTGAAATTTTAATTTTGAATAAGAATAAATTTATATTGATAAAAAAAGTGCTTTAACGAAAAATATCTCATGCATAGTCTATAAAACATACCTTTTAAACATAAAACATAACCAAAAAATCATGAGAAAAGCAGAGCAGAGGCCTTTATATAGTTGATGATGATGGGCTTTTGGCGTGGATAGAGCTGATGGCACAACTTTATGTATATCGAACATTGATGGCACAAGGGCCGAATTAGAACTTTGCCCCCAATTGCTGCTGCCGGAGGACAGACTCAGTGTTTTTGGTAATTGAGTGAGGGTCAGATCGGGCACATTCTAGTGGAGGGCACTCCAGGGCTGTGCACGTTTGTCCCAATTCCCAAATTTAAGGATCCGTTTGGTTCATTTGGTTAACAATTGGAATTGGAATTGGAATTAAAATAAATCTTGAGATCGGAATGTTCCATTTCCCTCACCTGTTTGGCCCAGATGGGAATTAAAATCCGAATCAGTTATGAATTCTCATTCTCTAGGAAATGGGAGGGAATGGTCCATTTCTTCTGATTAGAGAGTGTCATTTCACMAGGAATAGGAATGATATTCCGATTTCTTCCAATCAAATAATTTGGACCATTCCAGACCAAGGTTCAAAATATTGATATATCGGTATGGATGTATTGGGTGAATCGGTACTGTTTTTTTTTTCTGAAACTGGTTCAGGGGGGTCAGTTTAGGTCACCTCCACCCTCTGAACCATTCAGACTCCCGATACACCCACTATAGGGGCGTATTAGAGGGGTCCCAGAACGATACGCATCAGCCTATATGAACCGATACGTATCGATACTTTGAACCTTTTTTCCAGACCCTATTCCCGTAAACCAAATAAACCCTATTATGAAGAATCTATCATACCCCTATTACTACCAAATGTTATCAATCGGTCGTTGATCCAGCCAGTGGGGTCAGTGTTCCGGTGACTCGGTCACAATCCTAGTTATAGTCAACCGTACAAAAAAATTAAAAATGTTGATTCGGTCGACGACCCATCAACCTAGACAGAATTGTCGATCTATGTAGATCCATTGACAAAATAGGTTGAGTCATTGACCCAGATGATTTAAATTTCAATCACCAACCTAATGATCTATAGGAAAAAGTTGTCCAATCTCATTAACTGCAACTAGAGAGGCATTTGATAATTGCTGAATGGACACCAAAAGCGTAATGTAAAGAAGAACCCAAACTTAAAAAATGGCTTGAATTAGGGGTGTTGTCAATATATCATTAAAATTTCCTTCAAGTTGTCAAGATTGTCATTTGGCAGTTGGCACCCCTCCAAATAGGAAGCGCAGGATCATACCTATAAAATTGTAAAAGTGTAAGTTAAAAGGTGGTGGTATAGGTAGTGTGCTGTTCCAACACCTTTCCAACATGATCACTGCACATTTCATACATGGCAGGTCCTACATTTTTTGTGGGTTCCAATGTATAGGAATGCATTTTGTTTCTACGAGATCCCGGGGGCATTGACATTTAGTACCCAAATTTTCATTTGTCACAACTCACAAAGAGCTACATTGTACTTTCAAATTCCAACACTAGGCTCCTGTGTTGGCATTCCATCAGTTTTGAATTTTTATGAGACCACTTTGCCCTCTCGTTATTGCATATCCAAAACTCAAATTTTGAAATCTCTTTCTCCTTCTTCTTTTCATTTGTTTAAGACAAAATGAAAAAGAGTCGAAAGAAATAGCATATCCATAATAAAATCGGAAACTTGGACTTTGAAGATAGAATAAAAGAGAGGGAAGAGGTTCAAAAAGTGATGGAATCCTAATGGTGGGAGAAGAGTGTTGGAATCTGAAAATACAGGTAGCTCTCTTTAGTAAATGAAAATTCGAAGACCTAAGCTTCACTACATCCAAATTACCAAGTGGTTTTTGTTCGGGTGAGAGTTGAGCTGACCAAGAATGTCATGTAGCAACTTTTGTGGCCGCTCTTTTTCTCTAGCCACGTTGACGCCACGAGTTACAAAAGAGCATGACTAAGAAGGAATGCCCTGTATAGACAAGGAAGTGGACTCCGTCGGGACAACGAAACCTCCCGAAGACCTCGACGGACAACCTCATCTCAACAACCCTAGAAGCCCTATCCACCTAGGACACGGACAACCAATTATAAATAGGTATTCCTCACTCGAGGTAAGGGACTCTTGGAAGAACACTCTTTAAATATTTCTACATTATCTCTTCGGCTCAAACTAGCATTACTTCAACCTACTCAGCCTGGCCACTTCTTTCTCTACCCAACTAACTTGAGCGTCAGAGTACATACTTGGGGAATAACTACTCGGGTCTCTAACCTTTCTCCTGGTTGCAAACCTCAGTATGTGACTTCGTCTTTCCACATCGGCCTCGTCTGATTGGCAGGATTATCTGATTGTGACCTCGATTCGGAACACCTCGGATCGAATAGCATCATATTGGCATCGTCTATGGGAAGTGTACAAAAAGCCATTTCCCAAACACCTTTTCACGCACTTAAAGCAACTATGCCTAAAAACACATCCAACCACTCCAGAGCATGTTCCCCATCTCAGAGATCCCGCTCAGTTGGCAGCTCTCCACCTCGGTAGCCCCAACATTAGATTGTGGTCGACCTTGCGCAATTCCAAGCCATGCAATAGAAAGTCGACCACATCCTAGCCATGATGGAGACGCTAGGGAAACCAGCTCACCCCTCCCCAAGCTACATGCCCTACCACGTAGGCACCTACTATAGCCAATCCTCACAACGAGGACCCCAAAAGGCGCCACACAGACAAGTACAGGGCCTAGTTTGACCGCGAATGACTACAGCCATCCAGAAGACCTGACTCCCTAGCCCGGCCTCGTGCACATGACGCCCACAATAGATCCCTTCACTCCGCCCGGGTGCCAGTGAAAGAACGGCTCGGCCAATGTCTACAGCAACCACCAATCTCGATAGTCGAATCTAGCTTGGTCTAAGATCGGCCTGTAATTCCAAAAGGGGAGAAGTCTGCGAACATGGCCCTAGTCAACAAAGATGCTAAGATCAAAGAACTAAGAGAGTGGCTAGCCAAACTACAGCACAACCAAGTGGTATAGAAGYGCTTCCCTTCCGACGGCTCAACCCACAGAGTAGCACCACGGTCAATAGCCTGCCAAAGAGCTCGTCTTCATCCAAGAGATCGTCGACAAGCTCCCTCTAGCTAGATGGTGACCTCCTCAGCTCAAGAAGTACGATGGAGGCTTGGACCCCAACAACCACATTGAGGGGTTCAAAGCGATAATGATGTTGTAGGCTCCTCCGAAGGCCTCATGTGCAAGGTATTCGTCGCCACCCTCCACGGAGTCACTAGAACTTGGTACGCCTCCCTTCCTCCATGGTCCATATCCTCCTAGGAGTAGTTGGAGACACAGTTCCTGGTGCAGTTCACCACTAGCCAAAGGCATCGGAAGACATCAATCAACCTCATGCAATTGCGGCAAAGGAAATGAGAGACCTTGAGGGAATACTTGGCGAGGTTCAATGCCAAGGTCCTCTAGGTCCGAGCTCTAAACCAGTCAGTAGCTATGAATGCCAACATGAGCGAACTGCGCTCCTCAGTGTTCAACTTCTCATTGCAAAAGAACCCTCCGCCCAACAAACTAGCCTAACTCTAGGCTAGTCAACTCGAAGAAATTAAAGTTCCTTAATAGGATCGTAGAGCCCTTCCACGCCTAGTCACAACTGAGCACTACACTCCTTGACTTCAGAACTAGGAGAGTGGTGTTCAGGTGATAGTTGAGTTGGCTAAGGATGCCACGTGGCAACCTCCACGGCCGTCCTCTCTCTCTAGCCACGTCGACGCCACGTGTAATGGAAAAGCACGACTAAGAAAGAGTGTCCTACAAGGACAAGGAAGTGGACTCCACCGAGGAAGAGGAAACCTCCCGAAGACCTCGACGGACGACCTCATCCCGACAACCCGGGAAGCCCTTTCGATATTCCCTGTTCGAGGTAAGGGACTCTTGGAAGAACACTCTTTGAATACTTATGCACTATATCTCTTCAACTCGAACCAGCATTACCTCAATCTGCTTGGCCCGACCATCTCTTTCTCTATCCAACTAACTTGAGCATCGGAGTACCTACCCAGGGAA